ATAGGCCTGCATTTAAAATGAACATTTACCATAAATTAAAGGTATCTTATATTATTAGATACGTTATTATAAAACATGCTTTAGTTAAGGAGTTATTGATACTTCAAGTGCAAAATGATGATACAAAACCTTGATAAAAATACACTTTTAAGTACTAATCAGTCTACCTAAGGTAAGACGTATTTGTGGAAAAATACACTTTTAAGTACTAATTAGTCTACCTAAGGTAAGACGTATTTGGGGTGCTAATACCTTCCCTTTACTTAACCAATCTCCATACCTGATCTCTGAGACCAGTTAGTGTTCCTACTCACCAGAATACTATATGACGACTCTCATTCAATTTTTCACTACTAAGAGACAAGAATTCCTTATCTCTTCATATTTTGTCGAAAATACACTACATCCACATTTTCATATTTTTCCTGGAGGGTGGATGATCGTCGCGATGCCGCACACGTGTGACAGAATGACGACTCCACTAGGGACCTTGTGGACTAAGTTTTGTTTTGTCTGTTTGTTGTGTTTTATTGTTTGGTTTGTATGTATACATTTGTTCATACATTATATTTGTTCATGCATTATATAACATTGTTGCATGCATCATTCACATTATTGTACAATTTAAATTTTAAGTTAAGTGGGGGATTAACAGATTACCTTACGATTTTTAAGTCAAGGTTTAAGTTTGTGTAAACGCTAACTTTTCACCAAGAGCTTATACTGGTAATGATTGGTGCACATGCCATCCCATTACCTATTAAGCCCCCATATTGCCTTCATGAGAGCGATCATTGAGACAGTAAGAGACCCTTTTAAAGCCTGAATAGCCAACCTACCCTTATCATGCATAAAAAATTTAGAACTTGCCTTTAAGATGTATGTTCCCTACGCTTTGTTTTGTTTTGCATCAAAACGAACCTTTCCTGAAGCATCTAGAAATCAAGACTTGTGGGTGATACAATGATTGCTACGTGGAATATTTTCATCGTAGAGTTTGGACAAGAAACAAGATTCTTGTTTCATCATACAAGGGGTATGATTATGTGTCACCGCTCGAAAGGTGAGTTCATTATAGATTACATGTACTTGTTCATATATTTAACATACATACATGCTAGGTTGAAACATAGGTCCCCAAAAAGTTCACAACACCCGACTTCAAGTAAGAATCATGGAAGATGAAGAGCATGCTCAACGTGATGCCTATTTTCAAGACGAGCCTCTGAAAACAAGTGTGGCTCACCTCACTAGCTTACTCGAGCAAACTCTAAAATATACCTTTGGCGAAGGTCCTTCTAACCGACCAGTCACCTTTAATCAGACCCCTATAGCAGTTCAACTTGAAGAAAGAATGAGTGAACAGGGTCAAGAGTCCCAACAAAATCCAATATTTATGCAGTCAACGATACTTGCACCAACCCCAACAGTCACAGAGGCATCGACTAATGAGTCCCATAAGGCTAAGTCATTTGATAGCATTAATCAAGCTAATATAGAGGCACTGGAAGCTAGACTCAAAGTCATTAAAGGGGTAGACTTATATGACCCGATACGGGCAGCAGAAATGTGTTTGGTCCTAAATGTGGTTATACCTAAGAAGTTTCGTGTTCCTGAATTCATCAAATATAGTGGAACACAATGCCCCATGACCCATCTTAGGTCCTACTGTAATAAAATGGCAGAAGCAGTACATGATGAAAAACTACTAATGCATTTTTTTCAAGATAGCTTAAGTGGAGCAACTTTGAACTGGTATATGAGATTGGACAATACAAAAATCTAGAGATGGAAAGATTTAGTTGATGCTTTTGTCAAACAATACAAGTACAACTTGGACATCGCTCTTGATAGAACCAACTTGTCCAATTTAGAAAAAAAAGAACAAAGAAAGTAAAAGGGAATATGCTCAAAGATGGCGAGAAGTAGCTGTTCAAGTACACCCTCCACTTCTAGATAAAGAGATGGTCTCTTTATTTGCCAACACACTCAAAGCACCCTGTTACGAACAAGTGATGGGTAGTTCAGCCCAGCAATTCACTGATGCTACGGTAGTATGTGAACAAATAGAGCAAGGCGTTAAGAGTGGTAGAATTTCTGCATCTACCGAGAAAAGAGGCTTCAAAAGAAAAGAGGTCCACCGTGTTGAGGATGGCTACAAGGGTAGGACAAACTTATCCCAAAACTATCGCACTCCATCTCACATTGCCAATATTAAAAGACCCGAGCCCCAAAACTTTTCGGCCAAAACCCAAATTGGAAATTACCAAAGGGTTCAAGGACAACTACCTCCATTGCCGCTACCCCTAAATGAGATGTATCAAAAGCTGTTAAGCATCAGGCATATAGTGTTAGAACCTCTAACACCTGTGCAACTACCATATCCTAATTGGTACAAGCCAAACCTAACTTGTGAATACCATGCTGGTATTGTTGAGCATAGCATCCATACCTGCAACGCCTTTAAGAGAAAGCTGCTGCAATTAATTAAAGCTGGGCGGATAGAATTGGAAAACGCCCCCAATATGAATACAAACACGCAACCTAATCAGGTTTAAAGCATATAACAGTTAGACTACCTTGCTATTGTCTTTTGTTTAGTGCTTTTGAACAAGACTGTCTAAGACAAATGATCCTTTATTAAAATCATATGTTTTCCTATGTTCACATCACACTTGTTTTTTTGTTGTTATGATCCTATTTTTTTATCTTTCAAACCATACATCATCTTGTATGTTTTCAAGGATATTTTTTTAGACCTCAAAAGTGAGTACAAAAATAAATATCATGTTGGTATTTTTCCAAAACAACTACATTCTGAAAATTCAAATGATTCCTTAGACAAGAAAATTGAAAAAAAAAAAAACACCATGAGATGACTCACAAACTGAGTTTTATTTGAATGAATAAATTATTTTTGCATACCCACATGAAAGCAAGACCTATTGATCCTCAGTGCATTAAGTTTGAGATGAAGAAAGACCATCTTTAATAATTCTTTCACGAGGCTGAAATATATCATTTGCAGTCCCATTTTGAACCTAGTAATGTTTTTTTTAAAATAACCCTGACTAGAATCACACCTCACACTAGGGGGCAAATAAGAAAGGTTTTACAAAAACCCATGAATAGGCAAAAATATCATTATCATCCAGACAAAGTAGTGAAGATAGGTGCTGGAATTGATCATGTAATTAGATTGAAAATCCAAAAGATTCAAAAAGATTTGAGTTGCATATAAAAACAACTTAGGTGCTTATGCTCGACCAAACAGAAAAAAATAAAGAGCCTAAACCCGATATTGGGGGGCAAGAAATCCATTTTGGCAAGAAAGTCAAAAGAAAAGGTTAGGGAATAAGCACAAGTGATCCTTAGTCTTGAAATTCCTTAAACACCTTTTTGAGTCTGCAATATCCTTTTCTTTATAACCATAGCCTAAGCCTACATTACATACCTTATACAACCCTTTTTAATCAAAGGCAAGCAATTTAGATCGGTAGGCAGTGCTCTTTTGTGCAGGTCAAATCATTATTCATGCAAATAAAATAAATGTTTTGAATCGTTTCGGTTCTCAATAACCCTCAAATTGAAATTTTAACTATTTATGACCAATCAGATGTCACTTTAAACCAAAAGTTTCAAAACGCTTTCATCACTTCAAGAACCTGTCAATAGGAATCCCTTGCATTCTTTAAAACAAGTTTATTTTGAACCAATGTCAAAATAATTTTTGTAGTTGGAATAACTTGGAAGTTTCAAAAAATTTACATGGAAATATTTTCCTATAAATAACCCTAAACTTTCTTTCATATAACCTCATCCCAAAAGAAAAACTAATATGAACACTTGGGGGGCATGATCAAGCTAAGGGGCAAACACCTGGTAGGGTTGGATCCATGATTCCTTCTCTAAAGAAAATGACAGCAAAATTGATAACCTTTAAAGATAAAGGTTGGAAGACAAAGAAAGGTAACAACATCA